AAAATAAGGTCTTCCAGAAGTTGGGGAGGTCCACATAAAAGTCGGGGGGTCGTGACCCCCCCGACCCCCCAGTGGCAGTGGTTGCGCCCATGCACTGGGGGACAAGACCCTCTCAGCCTTAGACGCGTGCGTGGGTATAGGCCTACATGCGGACATGTAATATATGTATATATATAATATACTCTACTCTATAGGCCTATTAGTATTAATCATATAGTATATAGTACTAGTCTATAGTACTACTACTACTAGTACTACTACTACTACTACTACTAGTACTAGTAGTACTACTACTAGTGAAATAATTTGAAGATGGTATGTCGAAAGCAATGATCCCGCTCGGATGAGCCAGTGCTACGAATGCAGCCTACACATAACGCCGGTATTTGCAGTTTAGTATGCGATTCGCAGTCATAATTAAATTACTATTTAATAGTCGAACAACACTCACAAGACGACGATCTCTGAATCCGATGTGAATCCCTAGAGTAGAGACTAGAGTCACGCCCTGCTGGTTATTTTTAGTCTGTGATACGTGATTCGTTATTCGTTATCGTTATAACCTGATTCGTTATGTTCAACGCAGTTTCGAACTAAATTACCGATTTTTCATCCTTATATTCGCCCGGTTGCATAAAACCTATCGTCAACACCGGTTACCAGAAGTACTCCATTGCAAATATACATAACCGGGCGAAACACCTGGCCGCTGGCGGGTGGTATCGATTCAGCACTGCATCTACAGAAGACTGGTAGCAAGCGACTGGTATTTTATCACCGGGCGAGTAAAATAAGTGCAGTATACGATAGGTAAAAGGGTTATAAAACCGGAATTACGTCACGTGGTAGTGAGGAATAGATGGGTTCCTTTTCGTTTCGTCAATTTAAAGCAAACTATGTGATTAGATTGAGGATCCATCTAGAGACTCGGATCCAATATGGCAGCCTCCACAATTTTATTCTGTTATTTATACTCTTTTTTTTTTTTTTCAATATTGAGGAAATATGCTATAGTATAGTATCTATTTTCAAACTATCATTTTCACTAATTCTTTTGTGTTAGTTTCGGGGCAAGTTCTCTCTCTCCCGCTTCATGTGAAATATCAACGTATTATGCGACAATGTCATTGACATTGTCATTGTCTGATTTGTCAATCGACTCAATCATCAATGGTCAATGACTCAATGTGACAATGCCATGGCACAATCATTGTCTATGATTGCCATGGTTGCCATGATTGCCATGGCACAACAATTAATACTAATGCTCATAGGGTCTATGTCCCCCAGGGTACTGCCGGAACGTACCCTGGTCACTATTTGATATGGTTAGGATTAGGGTTAGGGTTAGAGAGTAGGCGTAGGCGACTCCCTAGACAGTAGACTCGTTAGTGGAGTAGGCGAGGTACGGTCCGGCATATTAGATAGTACCAGGGGCAGGGTACGTTCCGGTATACCGGACCGTACCCAGGGTACGTTCCGGCGGTACTCCGGGGGGCATAGACCCTCTCAGCGTTACTAATAGTAATAGACTGATAACTGAGTGCAGTCATTACGTAGGGTACTCAACGCATTGCCATTGTGACAATGCGTTGAGTACCCAATGACTGCACTCAGTTATCAGTCTATAATTAGTATTATAATATCAGTTTAAGTAATACTAATATAACTTAATAATAATAAGTTATAGTAAATTTAATTGTCCCCTCAATCGTTATCGAAATATTAATCTGAATACACTTTATGACCCACCATAGGTGCTACGAGGCTCAAAAAACGAGCCTCGCGTTTGACCGGCAGTCGATAAACACGCTTCGTATACATATTACCAGGAGTTAATAAAGACAAATTTGTCTTTATTAACTCCTGATATTACACATGCTTTACTAAACCTGTCATGCACACAGATGAACGCCAACGCGTGTGTGTCGATGTACATATAGTAAATTTAATCTTCCCTGTAATCGTTATCGAAATATTAAGCCGAATACACTTTATGTATGCAGCTCACCCTTAGGCTTAGTATATATACCATAGATACATATATGCTTAGTCATCAATACGGTACGCTCCGATACATTTCCATAGTTTCTTAGATCGGGCGCTAGATGGTGCTAGTGTAAAACAGCGCTGCCATAGTGGACGTCATGAAGTGTATTTGCACCCGAATGTGTCTGTAGAAACTATAAACTAACCTTTAGCTTTAGCTTTAGTCTAAAAAGCTCAAATTTCAAAATACCTAGTAAACCATCTCCTACTAGTACAATCCCTACAATGTGTAAAAAAAACAACTGAAAAAAGTGTACAAAATAACATACAAAACATTGAATCAATATTATATATTTTGAAATAAATTGAAAATATATATTGCATATACAATATATAGAATCACAATTAGGCTATGCCTATATGCCTATAGATGTCATATGCACTTTGTATCATTGTATCGTTGTGTGGGCATGTGTTTATTTCAGGATCCACCTCGTCGAAATATAAATACTAATTATGGTGACTTCAAAGTTTTCAAGTTCCTTTAAAGTTTTGACATTTTAGAATTTAGATGCATATCATTATGAATATTTATAGTGTTCTGACAACTGGCCCTTGATCTACATCATCATCCAGGGTTCTGCCCACGGTGGGCGGCGGTGGGCGGGTGCATGTGCCCGGCACTCGCGGTTGCCGCCCGGCACTATATACCTCCGTCCGGCACAAATTTTTGATAAAAAAAAAAGGTCTGATATATGGGCTCTTTATTGCTCAGAATGCAGGAAATTGTGTTTCAGACTATCAAAAATCAAAAATTTTCCGGGGGCATGCTCCGGACCCCCCTATATTGGCTTCACGCCTAAGGCGCTTGCATCGTCGCAACTGGATGCGCCTGGCACTAAAAAATTCTGGGCAGAACCCTGATCATCAGCAGCAGCATCAACAACAGCAGCAGCATCAGCATCATTAACATCGTCATCATCAATTATTACCATCACCCGAGCCTAATCCCAACCCCATTATTACAGACTGGGGTGGTGGCGGGGACTATGCCATGTGTCAAGGGCGTCAACAGGCGGGAGACAGGGGGGACATGTCGAAAGTGGGGGGGGGGACATCATATCATTTCCCCCCACACTTTTTTGGGATTATTTTGCAGCATCATAAACTTTGCTTGATTTTTACTCTACAATGCATTAAAATGCCTGTTTTTAATACCTAAAAATTAAAAAAGTCCTTACCGTGGGATAAGTCCACACCTCCCCCCCCTAAGACCGTTGCTCTGGTCACTCTCTATTAGAACATTTGCATTCTCACTAAAAATAATAGGCCCCCTAGTGGGAACTGCACATTGGAAAACCCTACCCCCTTTGGTCTCTACAGGCTCTGCTCCCTCAAAATGTCCCCCCTACCCCACTTTTGAGAAGCTGTTGACGCCCTTGCCATGTGTTATATAGTGGCCTTACCCTAATAACACTATTTTATTCATTTTCCAGGTGCACTAATATACAATTAACTTATATGGGTATTTGTTTTTAATCTAGATGGTGCAACAAGACAACCAATTTCTAATTCAGTAGAAATATATAAATAACCAATTTATATATTTCTATGACTGATAAAATACGAAACCAGAGATTCGACACTACCAGTGTGAAGTCGTGACTCTGCGATGAAATGGGAGGACTTGCCAGACATTGTACTAGAGCAGATATACCAAATGCTAGACATCACACATCGTTATAATGCTTCTATGGTAAGGAATCCTACTGTCTCTGTGATTGAGATTGCAGGTGGTTATATGCAATGAGGTAGGATGGCAGTCACTAGGTGTGTGCTAAACATGTAAGGCTGTGTGGTATAACATTATGGTTATGTCATCAAGAGTAATATAGTAGACATGTGTCTATATCTATCTAAATACTTGTACAGTAATTACTTTTATCCATTTTAATTGATCGGCTATATATATGTTTTATTTAATTGATACAGAGACATAAAATAAATTAGTAAATAGCACAATAAAACTGTTCTATACTTTCAGTGAGGCACTGTTCTTGAATTATAATATTAATTTCAGGGTCGTAGCTAGCCGGGGTACACAGCTATAGGGGCAGTTGCCCCCCCCCCACCCAGAAAAAAGGAGATACACTACATGGTCAAAGGTGGTCACTTTCCCAGAACACACCATGTACATTCTTTTGCCCCCCCCCCCAGGAAAAATTGGTTAGCTACGCTTCTGAATTTTGATGTGATATGTTACTTATGTACAATTAACTGTACGTAGGTCTGCAGACACTGGCATGAAGCATTCTATGCACCGAGAATTTGGGAGACTTTTATCTTTAAGGAGAACATGCTTCAGAGGAAAAAGTTCATGCCATATGGGAGTTGGCAGTATCAATTCAATCCGTACCTAGCTCAGGTTTGTCTTCAGCATAAATATTTGTGTAAAATCATGTGGGTGTAATATGTTGGGGAATTCTCACTCGCAGAGCTTGGACGGTTCAAATGTTACAATTCGAGTGCATTCTTAGCTGGCATTTAGTAAAAATATATTGACCGTGTCATGCCTTTCATCAAGCTGCCAGGTTCATAAACTCGTTCACTCCTATAAACATTCAAGTGTGTGTCTGCATTATTTTTCGTAAATAGACTGTGTTACGGAAAGTCGCACACCACTGGAAACGACTAGTCATTGAGCCGATGACTAGCTTCTACAACCTGCATGAGTTCCTCACTGTCGTCTCTGCCTACATTGATCTGTGCCTTCAGAATGGCGAGGAGTTCCCATTGCCACGACTGAAGTAATTACAGATTTATACATGTTTATGTATATTTATTTCCGTGTGCGTCAGACACTAACTTATAGTACTCTTGGTCTATGTTCAATGGTTTTATCTTCAATACATTTAGTTGCGATCTAATCATATTCAAAACCGATACTACTCTGTGGTAATACATGCATTTGAAATGGCAATAGCAACTATTGTTATAGTGGTGACCGTTTGACAGAAAAGATGGTCGTAATCATTACCATATACATGCGTGTATAATATAGATCTAATATAGATATAAGATATAATAATCTATAATATTGTTAATAATTGTTAATCTATATTATACACTCGGACTCCTGCCATATATATATATAGTCAGGGGGCAGATTTCAAAAAGAGCTAAAATAAGGATGAGCCTAAACTGTGGGTAGAGGGAAACGGATAAATGAATCTATTCTATGATACTTGGGAGTTTCCATGGGTATTTCCAGCCTGACCTTTGCGTATTGTGGCGGCCAACTTCGAAATCCAAAATGACCCGCCGCGGAAAATGGGATTTTGCATGAAAATATCTGGACTCCCGCAGATCGTCGTAGAGACATACAGTGATTCGGTCGGCTATACCCACATTTAAAAAACGATCAGTGCCGACAACCCAAATTATCGAACACCTGTAGAGAAACATAGAATGGCGGCCATATGGACTTCAAATCATCGGCCGCCAAAGTGAAATTTGTGTTATTTGTGAATAACTAACTTCCAAAAACGTTCGTAGAGACATAATGTGTGATGTCTAAACCCACATTACCGATAATGGAGAACAGAAGTAATGAGACACTTAGAAAAGCATAGATGGCGCGCATCTTGGGATTCAACATCGGTGGTATGTTAACTACCCCCATATACTAAACAACAGTCTAGAGTCCTAACATAAAAACATATATAGACATACCAGAATTGTCAAGAATGATGGAGTTTTAAAAAGTCACACCCCAGAGAACATGTGGTATCGGTTTACATGCAGGCCATTTCATTTCAGAACCCGCACGCGGGCAGCACATATTGTTTTGGTACACTGTAGCATCTCAGCCCCACTACTGCCACGGCAAATAAGGTCCGTCCTTAATAGCAGCCACATGTCTTTATTGGCAATAGTATTGGCACGTAAGATGGATTCAGTGCAATGAGCCCGTGGTTCAAAATGCCATCCTGCATATACCAAAGCCGCAGCAAATGCCTGAAAAAGGAATGCACTGCATGAGTACTATCTAACACACTGGCTTCCAAAAACTGAGGCCTGATAGTGGGATCTCGAATGACAATGTAGTATCAAAGTGCTTTTCTTGGGCAAATAGTCAAGTATTCACGTCTGCATTGGAAGAACTTCGCACAAGCGAATCTCGCTGTATGATAAAAATACCGCAATGTTGTCCGTTGGATGTCATACAGTTTACATATGTAAAGCCCTCCACTGAATAGCATTAATCCTAGGTGATAGTGAGACTTCTGTTCCAACTCATGCATGCGAATCTGGATCTTTCAAATAAATACTTTCCATTGCAGCGTTTGTTTAGAAATTGCCTTGCAAAACTGACCTCGTCGGTCAGCTTCCCCGTTAGGCACATGCAAAACAACAATACCCTTCGATGTTTGTTGTTTATTGTAAGTCATGACTCTCTGTATCATCCAAGGAGAAAATTTTGAAGTCCTGCCTTTAATTTCATCCAACCTCCTGCAGACAACTTTGCCGAAAAACACTGTTAGCATCATTAACACATCGTATCCTGCAACTACAATCGTTCGCATCATATCCGTGTCTGCATCATCGCACGCAGTAAAGAACAATTCGCAGGTGTCAGCCTCCTCGTGGTTTGCTCAAAGTGTGACATGCGACATCACGTTCCGAGGTACATATCGTTTTCGTTATTTCCAGTAAACCCTTCCCTCCACACTACAATTAACTCATTACCGCCAATCACTAGAAAGATATAATTCCTTCTGACAAGAAACGAGCAAGAACGGCTGTTTTCAGGCAGAAGAGTGATAAAGTCTTCCAGTTCTGAAGTGATTTTGTGTCTTTACCTGATAATCAACAAGCCGCCCTAATTGTTGTTCCTGAATCGTCGCTTTCTCGTGTAAACCTTTCTTTAATAGAATCTCTCCTCGTACGATCAAATATAATATCTAATCCTGTCCCCTGAATTTCTCGTGTGACACCACAGTTTCACAAAGCACGATCTGCTAAGTCATCAAACGTAACTGCCTGTTGTCGGTTTCCCAATGATTTAACCTACTCGCCATCAGCCATCACATAATGTACACTGTTTTTTAAAACGATTCACATGAAGGAAAATCTAGCTGGAATGCATCTATCGACAGAATCATATTGTTGCGATTTGTCCGGAAGCTTTTAGGAGAGAGAGAAGAGAACCAGAGAGGGCAGGTGTATGTGCGAGAGAGAGAGAGAGAGAGAAGAGAAGAGAGAGAGAAGTAGTTGAGAAGGCAGATGAAGAGAGAGAGAGAGGAGAGAGAGAGAAGAGAGAGAGAGGTGTGCGTGCGTGTGTGTCTCGGAAAGAAGAGAAGGGAAGAGAGGGTTGCGGTTGTGCTGTGATGTACAGAGAGAGAGAGAGAGAGAGAGAGAGAGCAATGTTGTTATGTGTGTGAGAAGAGAGAATAAGAGAGAGAGAGAGAGAGAGGTGTGCGTGCGTTGTGTTGGTCGTGCGTGACAGACGTAGAGCGAGCAATCCCACGAGAGGAGTGTGTAAAGTTGTCAGAGAGTGAGAGAGGTGTGTGTGTTGGTGTGTGGTGTGGTGTGTGTGTGGTGGTGTTGTGTGGTGTGTATGTGTGTGTGGTTGTGTTAGAGAAGATAGAGAACGAGACGAGAGAGAAAGAACCTGAGAGGGAAGTGTGTATGTGTCAGAGAGAGAGAGAGAGAGAGAAGAGAGAGATGAAGAGAGAGAGAGAAAGAAAGAGAGGTCGTGTGTGTGGTGTGTGTGTGTCGAGAGAGAGAGATAGAGAGAGACAGAGAGAGAAGAGGGAGAGAGAGAGGCGAGAAGAACCAGAAGGTGTGTCGCGCGGCGTGTGTGTGAGAGGAGAGAGAGAGAGAGAAAAAGAAGAGAGAAAGCGAAGAGAGAGGTGTGCGCGTTGTGTATGTGTGTGTGTGTGAGAGAGAGAAGAGAATTTGCATGTTTTGTGTTGTTCGTGATGGTGGGTTGCGTCGCGCCGCGTGAAGCGCAGAGAGAGAGAGTGTGCGTTTTATGTTGTTGGTGGTGTGACAGAGAAAGAGAGGAGAGAGAGAGAGAGAGCAGAAGGCTGTCGCTGTGTATGTCTGTCGAGCCTCGACAGACGAGAGGAGAGAGAAGACGAACCAGAGGGATCAGGCATCGCTCACGACAACGCCTTGACCAACAGTTGCAATCTGAACGTTGTGGGCCAACGTTTTCCCAAGATGGCGTGGGCCAACGTGCACGCTGACAAAAAGCTCGTTGGGACCGCCCGTAACCGCTCTCTGAGCGCCTGTCTGACGTGGGCGCAACGGTGGTCAATGAGTGGACGTTGGACCCATCGCGTGTGGACGAACGCTTAAGCAAAAAGCCGTGGCCCGCAACGTTGTCAACGTACGTGGGCCAACGTTGGCACCTGGAGCAAAAAGCGTGGGGCCAAACGCTGTCAATGACGTTGGCGGATTCCGAACGCGTCTCGACCGCAAAGAACCGCGAGAGCAAAAGACTTGGATCAACCGTTGGCGCTGACGTTGGCCGAACCGGTGGCCAATAACGCCAACGTGCCACCACAAACGTTGGCTGCCAACGGTTAGCGCGCGCCATCGCCTAACCACGATCCGTCCCACCTTAGACCATGAGACGACGCGACCGTCGCCACAGACCGCAGCTGATCGCGTCGCGCCACCACACGTAATAGGCCCAACGTCAGCATCAAGTGCTATGTAGCCCAATGGATTGACCCCCCACCACGCAATCGCCAACCATCGTCTGTCCGCTGGGCGTAAATGTTAACAGCTACCCATCCTGTTGCATAAATAAGGTCCACACTCAGGAGAGCGAATACGCATCACTGCGTCTGTCCATGAAAATAAGCCTGGGAAGACAATCCCAGAGACTATGATCTGCGCCTTCTAGACGAGACTTAGAAAATTTCATTTAACGTCGCCACCATCGTCGCGTCGCCAACCTCAAAACAAAATAAACCAATTTCATTGAGCGCCATCGTGAAAACCCCACAGAATGCCCCCCACGTCAATAACCTGCTTTCTAAGTGTTAGTAACGGTTCTCCACATCCCGAAATGTGGTAAAAGTACACCAGAAATTATGTCTCTACGACGTCTGGAGTCAGTTATTCAAAATAAACAAATTTCACATGCGCGATAATGAAATCCAATATGGCCGCCATCCTATTGTTTTTTAAAGCGTGTGTGACTAGATGCGCACCGCTTCTATCCCAGCTTAATCGATAAAGCGTCTATATCTGTACATAATGAAACCTAACTCTCAACAACAAAAAAACAGCATAAACGACTACCACCACAACCAGCCCACCGACGTCCCAGTTCGCATTACCA